GGTAAGCAGGCCAGCAGGGGGGGCAGTTTGGGGTGATCAGGCTGGTGGGGGGGGCATTTGGAGGCAAGCAGGACGGTAGTGGGAGGGGCAGTTGGGGGCGAGTAGGCTGGCAGACAGAGTGGTTAGAGGCAATCAGGCAGGCAGGCAGGCAGGTGAGTGGTTAGGGGCCAGGAGGCCCGGATTGCGAGAGGGATGTCTGACTGCTGGTTTAGGCCTGATCCCTGTAAACTGGCAGTAGGATATCCTTTGAGGGGTCCCAGATTGGAGAGGGTGCAGGCCAGGCTGAGGAACACACCCTCCCCCGTGCACGAATTTTGTGCCTCGGGCCACTAATATATATATATATATATATGTATTGATTGCATTTGGTCAAACATGAATCAAAGGTAGTGGATGGCCTTCAGCTTCAGTTTATCAGCTATAGGGGAAAAGCTATTGATGTTACGTATTGCTCATTTCTTGTGAGTGATTTTTCACTAGGATTGGGTACTAGGTTGCTTCTAATGTCCCCTCAAATGGGACCCAAGCTAATAAAAAAAGAAAAAGACTGCACACATGACATCTGGGAATAGCATAGGTATTATCTATACTGGATGGGATTAGGACTGTGTCTCCAGGCTTAAAACAAGCAACAGCCTAGAGAGCAATACCAATATGATTTGGGGGCAACAAGCAGCCTGTTACCTTTTTGTACAAAAAGCACTGCATGTCCTTCCCAATGCTTCTAGATCCCAGGCCCGGGAGCTCGCTCTCACTTAAGGGCTCTGTGGGTAACATGCGCTCCCCAAACCCCATACAAAGCAAGCAGTGAGCTTCCTTGCCCCACACCCTGCACCTCTGGCCTGGACCCTTCTGTAAAGCATATGCCTGGTAACACCCGGCCTGGGCTCCCCCAGCCCAACCCAGTGGGGCGCAGCACCCCACTCATCAAGGCTTCACTGAGCCCAGGGGACACAGGGCAAAGCCTCCTCAGGGGCCCAGCACTGGCCCAAACAACACCCCACACACTGGGCACTGAGGAGCAGGCCGCACCTTCAGCACCTGGGCAGGGCTTCCCATCTCCTTTTGTCCGCCATTTCCCCCCTCCCCCCCTTTGCCCTCATCCACTCAGCCCCGCCCCACTCCTGGCCTTCCCCACATTATTGTCCATGTCCATGGGTTATGCATATATGCATACATGTTCTTTGGTTAATCTCTGACATCTTAATTAGCTCAGTCCTCAAACACCTGCAGGCTTTTGCTAGGGACACAGCTTAGCCCCCAGCAAACACTGACTGCACCCAGGGCTCTGCAAGGCTCTGTGCCTACCATCTAACAACCCTCACCGCGGGCCTTCTGAGTCCCCCCTCACTTCTGGGTTCCCCACAGAACAACCAGGAGGATCTGTGGCTAAGGCTTCTACCCTAAACCCACATCATCTGGGTCCACAAGCCCTGAGCCTCCTCCCCCAAACACCAAACAAAGTTCCCTTTGCCCTCTGCTCCTGTAGGCCAGCTCCCCTACCCGCGCTAGTTTCCCTCCAGAGCTGACACCCTTTCCCTTCCCTACCTGAGCATGTGGGTAGCAGGAGCTCTAGGGCCAGCACTAGGATCCCAAGGTAGCCCCAAGAAAAGGGACTCTCCAGGCGGCGGAAAGATGTCCTGAGCGGCTCATAAGATGCCCTCATGTTCCCAGACATCAGCGGAGAAACCCCAGGGACAGTGAGTATTTGCTTTTTGAGTGCAGGTACCAGACGAAACAATCCCCAGACTCATAAAGTGTCCAGGGCTTTATGTCGAGTGGGCGTGGCACTGACCGTTAAGTCAGGGAAGGGCGGGGCCAATGGCGGCCTGCAAGGCGGAGCCTAGGCCCCAGGGCTGTGCTTCAACCCTAGAGAGGGTGATATCCTGTGTGGAATCTCTAACCTGAAAATTGACGACTTGGGGTGTTGGGCCAGGCCTCACTGAGGAGCTGGCATATAGTTTCAGGGGGTTACTAGGTAAACTAGTGTGTCCATTTGGGGGAGCGGGTTACTAGGTAAACTAGTGTGTCCATAATTTGGGGGAGCTTAAGAGGTTTGTTTATTTTAAACACAAGAAAAGTTGTATTTTAGGTTTATTCTAATGGGACAGCTTCATTCTACTTTCTGATCAGATTCAGCCAAGGAGCAAGTGATGCTTAGCTGCAACCCTTACAGGTTCTGCCTTCACTCTTCCAGCAATGGGACCTGGGCATCGCCTTCTGCTGTTTTTTAAACTCATCCCAGTGATTCTAATGTGTAGCCTGGGTTGAGAACCACTCGCCTGTGGCTTTGCTTCTAAAAGTTGGTGGCTCCTCCTTTCCTGCGGCTGCGGTAACAAATCACAGCAGATTGGGCGAATCAGTGTCTTCGGGTCACTATAAAAAACTCTACAGACTGGGTACCGGTGAGCCACAGTTCCTCACAGTTCTGGAGGCTGGGAGGCCCAACATGGAGGCCCTGGCAGTGTTGGCATCTAGTGAGAGCCAGCTTTGTGGTTCATGGTCAGGGACCTTCTAGCTGTAAGTTCACATGGCAGAGGCTGAGGGACTTTCTTGGGATTCTTTTGTAGGGACAAGAGTCCCATTCGTGAAGCCTGAGCCCCCATGACCTAGTAACTTCCCTGTGGCCCCTAGAGATTAGGATTTAACACAGGAATGTTGGAGGAACACAAACATTCACACAGTGTCTCAAGACAACACACATTTATTCTTTTTTTCTGGAAGTCATAAGTCTGAAATCAATTTCACTCGGTGGAAAGGAAGGTATTGGTAGGGACTGGGAGAGAATCAGTCCCCTTGCCTTTTCCAGCTTCTGGAGCTGCATTCTTTGTTTTTTGGCTCCTGCCTCCATCCTCCATCCAGCAGCATTTTGCTTGAGTGGTACATCGCCTTGTGCTGTCGTCACTTCTCCCTCTGCCTTCCTCTTGGAAGGAGATTGTGATTACATTTAGGGCCCACTTGAATAATCTGGGGTATTTTCTGCATTCAAGGTCTCGTTTTTAAAGACCCTTTGCCATGACGGTCCCAGGTGTTAGTCCCCTGATTGTGAGGAGGCCATGATACAGGAGCCTACCACAAACTGCAGAATGTGGGACTCACAGGAATGCAAACAGAGGGCCCCACCTGAGGCCCATTTGAATCAGAATCTGCATTTTATCAAGATCAACTTGTGATTCACCCACACACTAAAATGTGAGAAGCACAGTACTATGGCATCTTATGCAAATATTCTCTCATAATGGAGTCCCATGTCAAATGCAAATGAAGGAGTATTTTTCTAGGAGCCTTTCAGGTGGGAGATGACCAATGACCAATCATTTCCCCAAACGCCATAAATAAGTGCTCATCTAAATATTAGTAGATTACATCCAGCAGGTGTGTCTCATTGGTTGAGTATCGACCTATGAACCAGAAAGTTACTGTTGGATTCCAGGAGTTCATTCCCAGCAGATCAGTGATTCTCTGTCATCAATGATGTTTCTATCTCTCTCTCCCCTCTCCCATTCTTCTGAAATCAATAAAAATATTTATAAAAATAACAATAAACATCAGTAGATTACACAATTGAAGCCACATGCCTTAACCTAAATCCCAGGATAAGCAGAGCTGTTGCTTGTTTCTGATATTCACTATAAGGCTTTCCACTGCAACACACAATAATTCAATTTTTTAAGCTACATAAAGTAATGAAACCACAATTGGCTCCACCTGCTAACATGGGTGTTACTCCTCCTGTGCAGGTTTTCTTGATCTAGAATTCAGGATCCAGGGTGGGTAACTTCCTCAATGTGACCTGTATTCATGGTTATTTGTTCACCTTCAGCTGGTATGGAAATGAGAGAGAGGGAAAAATATATTACAGACAACAGACCCCAGTATTAATAAGGGACAGTTTAGCCTTTTACAATGTTAACTAGATGTCTGGTACACAAAATTTGTGCACAGGGGAGGGTCCCCTCAGCCCAGCCTGCACCTTCTCCAATCTGGGACCCTTTGGGGGATGTCTGACTGCCAGTTTAGGATGGGGCCTAAACTGGTAGTCGGACATCCCTCTCACCATCTGGGACCACTGGCTCCTAACTGCTCACCTGCCTGACTGCCTGATTGCCCTTAACTGCCCCCCGCCCCGGGCCCTTGCTGGCCCAGTCATCCCCAACTGCCCTCCCTGCCAACCTAGTTGCCCCAAACTACCCCCCCTAGCACCAGCCTGGTTGCTTTTAATTGCCTCCACCCGCCAGCCTGGTTGCCCCTCTCTGCCCTCCTCTGCTGGTCTGGTCACTCTTCACTACCATCACTGCCAGTTGGTTGCCCCAAACTTCCCACCATGCGGGCCTGGTTGCCCCATGCAGCCTGTTGCTCAGTTGTTTGGTCGACCCTCACTGCCCTCCTCACCGGCCTGGTTGCCCCCAACTGGCTCCCCCCCCCCCCCCC